CAACTATGTAATTAGTTTCATCTAATACAATTTTGACGAAAAATTGTCTAATAATTTTGATGCTGTATTGACATAAGAGAAAAGATACAGAACATTTAATGAACGAAAGAATCAATAAATCAGAAGAAGGAAAAGAGAATAATGGCGAACGAAAGTGCATACATTTGAGCAACCAGGGTTCACGAGCATATACATCCATCTCGATCACGGCATTGGACGGCAGCTCGAGTCCTCGGACCTTTCTGCTCAAGTATTCTAGAACTACTTCATCTGTCGGTTTGAAAACGTATCCAGTGGGCAGTGCTTGTAAAGATTTACCGCCCATCGAGATCTCTTGTTCCGACATTGCAGCCATTCAAGGAAAACAGATCACAGCAAATCTCTCTCTCCAAAATCTATAGCGGAAAACCGGATACTGATATGCAATTGCTCTCCCAATTCTCTCTCTTGGAAAATCAAGAAAACGCAAACGAGCGTCACACTCTCACGAACCAAAGTCGACTCTTTAGGTCTCTCGTATACCTTCCAAAATTTGAAAATCTGTTATATATAGAGGGACGCTTTGGATAAAGTAGTATTAGTTTGGTACTACTTATAGACATTCTAGTGAAAATTACCTTTGGCCCTTTCAATTATGATAGTTTTTTATTTTTCCCCTCAACTATCATATTTTTTTATATTATACCTTTAACTATGTGATTAATTTCAAATTATCTCAATTGTTAACGTCTGCTACATCTTTAATGGAAAGTTATTTCATTTTGTTATGACTATATAATTTTTTTTACTCTGTCCCAAAATGTCAATAATTTTCATCTTAAAAAATAACAAATATTTACAATTGGAGGAAGGTAAATCTGTTATTTATATGATACATTTTTAGTCTATTGTTTAGTATAATACTCCTTCCGTTCCTAAATATCTGTCGTTTTACATAATTTTTTTTGTTCCATAATATCTGTCGTTTAATAAAATCAAAGCATAATTAATATTTTTGTCCAAATTTACCCTTAAATTTTCAGTGCATTAGATTAGGTAGAGGCTAAGTGTCTTTCATATTCCTTTCCTTCCCAATATATATTGAATAAGAGTATTTTAGTCTTGTGTAATTATTTTTTACTCATATTAGAGCTATTTAATAATTCCTTATTTTTTATGCAAAAATCTTAAACAACAGATATTTAGAAGCAGAGGGAGTAATATGATAGAAAATGTAAGAAAGAAAAATTGTTTGGTTAGTAAGAAATGAAAAATAATATAAATAATAATTACTTTTACGGCACCCAAACCCAATTGCCACATCAGCTAATTAGTTTAAACCATGCATAGGCTTCATGAAGTCTCGTGCATATGATAACTCTCATCCCATCTATTAAATCTTTTATTGTCCTTAGGAATACTTTGGTAACAAAATAAATTTTTTTTTTGTATTATACCAAATACTACAAATTAAGTGCTCATATTATACAAAAATGGGGTCGTTTGGATTGACATTAATATTTTATCATCAATTATAAAATATTAGGATCAATTATATCCTAATTTTTTGAAAGAAAAAAAAGTATCGTGAGTCCTCCGATTAAAACTCATGGATCAATAGATATAAACTAAGAATTTTTAGGTTCACAAGAATAAAATTGTCGATAGACGTACATGATCAAAATCGTCGTGTGCGCAATTTAGTTTCCTTCCTCAATGTTAACTAATTTTTTAAAAAATCAAGAACAAGTCTCAATTTCATAAAATCTTTTAAGATTTATAACCAAAAATCTTCACCAATATCTTATCTCCGAAAATCTTATGATCAAGAGTTATTGGACTTCAACGAATCAAACTTATGGTCTGCATCAACCATCCTCAAAAAAAACTAGGATTTTCAGTGTGGTCAACCCGTCATTCTACAAATAGTGCTTCAAAATCTTCCAAATCTGTCATATTATTATTTGACGTAAATGTTTCAAGCAAGAATATCTGCGAAATACTAGTTTGTTTGGTATTTCACTGATGCAGTAGAATAAGGAACATAAAAAAAAAAAAAAAATACCGTTTTTAAGTGTATAAAGCAAAAGTACTTTGAATCCACAAAGAAGTGAACAATAGAATATTTCTAAAAATTTATATTATTCAATACATAATTCGTATTACTAATTTATATCCTATTCATCCCCATAGTAAAAGGAAAATCCATAGTTATAAGAAAATTATCAAAAATGAAAAATTGTAATATAATTAATTAACATAAAAGCACGTGTCGTCTGGAGTATAACAAAATTGATGACAATGAATTCAAAATCTCATATAATTTATTATTAATTTTTGAATTATTTCCTAAAACGGCATAAATGGAGTTTTGAGGGTTTAAACGATAGAATTCGACCCAAAAATGAAGGGCCTCATAACAAAGCTATGAGTCTTGATTATTGGTCCGATCCAGATCAAACACCACCGATCTAAATCAATTCTAAATCTGACTCATTTTAACTCTACAATCACCTTTTGATCTTTCATTGGGCATTGGACGCGCAACGATTTTTCTGCTCCAAATAATCAGTTGTCATCTGTTCTACATCAGTCTCCCTCTCTCTTGAAAAAAACTTGCCCTCAAGTTAACTTTTGAACGTTCAATGGAATCAAAGTGAAACTCGAACAAATCTTGCACAATCAAAGTAGTAGAGACTAGAGACGCTCACATCCGCAAGAAGCTTAACAGCAAAAGCATCGTCATTGATCTTCTTCAAGATCTAAAAGGGACCAATCTTCTTCTGGTTGAACTTGTTTTAAGACCCAACTGGTAATCTCTCCTTGTGTAGGTAAATCATAACTTTGTCTCCAACCCCGAAAATCTCCTTTCGGCAATGCTTATCGACTGCCTCCTTGTATTTGGTCGTCGACGCTTCCTATTGTCGCCTCACCGCTGTATGCACATCTATCAGCTTCCCAACCATATACTTAGCCACAATGTCCATACCTATGAGCTTTGGTAATGGAATTATATCAAGCATGTGTAAAGGTGCTAGAATATAAATATTCTGGAATGGAGACTTGCTGGTGGATCTGTTCATCACATTATTGTAGGCAAACTCTGCTTGGGATAAGTATTATCGCACTACTTCAATTATTCCTTGCAAAGGCTTCGCAAGATATTCCCTAGGGTTTGATTCACCACTTCTGTTTGCCCATCAGTCCGTGGATGACTTGAGTTATTGTGCTACAACAAAGTATCCAATCGCTTTCACAAATTCTGCTAGAAATGGCTAAGGAGCTTGTTGTCATGGTCAGAAGTAATGCTTTTCTGGAATGCCAAGCAAATGAACAACCGCCCAGAAGAAAAAGTGGGAAACATGAGTAACATCTGAGATTTCCTTGTATGGAATGAAGTGTGCTATATTGGAAAACTTGTCAACCACAACATATATAGAGTCCATACCACGTTGAGTCCATTGAAGACCCTGTTGGCCCAAAGTGCAACTTAAGAGGAGGGTGAATTAGGTTTAAAAGGAAAATTCCCAATTAAAAGTTTAATTTCACTAATTGTGAAATTAATTAACCTATATGATAGTTGTCAATGGGATGAGAATGATATTTTGTGTGTGTGTGGAGGGGGGGAGTTAACAAAGACAATATAAAGTAAAGAGAGTAAGAGAGATAGAGAAAACACAATGATATATAGAGGTTTGACCCCAACACTTTGGCATATGTCCTCTTTTCCTTCTCACCTTAGAACCTTTCTCTTTCTTGAATCTCTTCAATAGGTGAGATTCCAACACCTTTGTACACTGTTCTTCCTTGAGTACAAAACAAAGATTTCTCTCTTACAAGATTCACTTAAGAAGAATACAATAAAGACTCTCTCTTGCTTCTCAAGAATATTCTCTCAAATCAATAATCAAAGACAATAAAAAGAATGATGTTCTTTGGTTTTTAACTTATAAGTTCACTTATGCAAGAAGACCCCAAAATGCCTTTAATGCCATCTGTATATAGTGGAGGTCAAAAAGGATTCAAATGCTGAAACTCAACAAATTTGAATTCATTTATCAGAGCCTCATCCGATATACCAGATGGTACGCCGAATTGTTACTGTTGCCTTATAACGACTACATCCAGTATACTGGTTCACTTGTCCGACACATCGATTTGTCAGACATCTTCATGTTTGGCTGGATACTGGAAACTTCTGAGGTGCTGGATCACCAACCGGTATGCCAGTTCGTCAAAGAGACTTTGCTAGTTCATCAAAGAATGCCAAGTGAAAATACTATAAGCTTTGGAGCTTTATTGGCTCCACATCTAATATGCAGGTTTATCCATTCGGTGTACCGGTTCATAAATCTGGCATATCGGACACTCTATTTTGCATACATAATTTTCCTGTTGTCTTCCTTTTTTCTTTTTCCTTTGATCTTGCTTGCTTTCCACCAATTACAATCTATCCATTACACATCTAATCATCAAAATAATGCTTAATCAAAGCTTTGGGTCAACAGACCCCAACACAAACTCCTTGGACATATCCTTCGAAGGTGTATCTCGAATGGGTAAAGGAATATAGAGCCCAGTATTATGTGTGTGTCCCTTAGTAGTCTGACATGTGTAATACTTATTAACAAATCTCTCCACATCTCTCTTCAGTTAAGGCTAGAAGTAGCACCCTTCAACCAAATCAACGCTCTTATGTCTGCCCATGTGTCCTCCTAAGACATCATTGTGAAGTTCTCGAATGATATGCTCAGGTAGGGATCCTCGGGGAATGCAAAGTTAGGTAGCTTTGAATAAGAAGCCCTTATGGACTTGAAAATCCCATGAGGCTCCACATATATCTGAGCACTAGGCCCAAATTTGTTGAAAGTCCTCTTCTCCTACATAAAACTTTTTCAAATAGTCAAAGCCAATTACCTCATTAAGAACAGTAGTTAATAACATAGTACACCAACTCAATGCATCTGCCACCTTATTCAATTGACCTGACTTATGCTTCAGGGTGAAGGTGAATTTCTAAATTTCTACCACCCGTTGTGCATGCATACAGTTAAGGGGAGTAAAATTGTTATACTTCAACGCCTGATGGTTGATATTCAGAATGAACTCTCTCTGAATCAGATAATGCTGCCAATGTTGTAAATTTCTAACAACTGCGTAAAACTCCTACTCGTATGTAGATCATTTTTGCCTTGCCTCACTGAGCTTTTCACTAAAAAAAATCCATTGGTTTGCCTTCTTGGGACAAAAGTATTTCAATGCCCGTACAAGAGGCATCACAATCTACCTCAAATAACTTATTGAAGCCAGGTAATGCCAACACAAGAGCTATGGTAAGCTTCTCCTTAAAAAACTGGAAGCTCTTTG